CAGATCTCTTCCATACATATATCATTCTCTGAAAAAACTTTACTTTGCAGCTTTCTTCGAAGAATTATCCCAATTCACTGAATTTCCCTTCCAGGATGCATCAAATATACGAATTTAAAAGAAAATTTATAATCAAATAATTTTCTTTCTTTTGTTTTCTTCTATGTATTCCTTCTACAAAGATTGTGACCTGTTCTCCTCACGTTCTACTATTCAAACTCATAAGGTGTTTTGCAGAAAAGAAGCGTTCACTGTTCAGAGTCAAGAGAAGTTTTAGGCTGAAGATCATACTTCAAAACCGTTCACATCGGAATGTGTCACATTAAAAGGTTTTATAGTTGTTTCTTTTTAGTATTCATTTTAGATAAAAGAACACTTCGTCTATTATTCTTTGAATTTTACAGCGTAGTACGAGTGGGGTGGCTGTTTGTCTCTGTAAAAACATGTCAATCTCACCGGACTATTCTGCAAATTCATATGTCGTCGTTAGCTATAGATAACAAACTCTACCCATGAAATAATTTTGATACCCTAACGCAGGTTAGCATGGGTTAAAAAAGAAGTTTTCGAGAAAATTGTGTTTGAACGGGTTAAATTTTCAAATACGACGCGTGCTAACGTTTCGTCGGAGCGGTAACGAGACAGATCCGGTTAAATATGGTTCTAAGAAATTTAACGAGTTTGCACGCATTCAAATTTTCCAAAAATCGATGATATACGGTGTAAACGCGTTTAAAAATAAAGAATACATGTACATTCCTGAATAAAAGTTTATCTTAACTCGTTTAAACGGGTTAGAATAGATTTTAACTCGTTAAAACTCGTTCAACGATAACTCACTAAATGCGTACGCGTTTCGGTGCGTTAGAACGGTAATTTTCCAGTCACCCTTTTGTTTTGCATGACCAACTCATATATAAATAGCATGTCTTTCCCTACGAGATATACGATAGATTCACTTAAAATTTTCTAAGTTTTCCTCTTATTATATATATATATGTGTGTGAGAGACTAGTCTACTACTGAAAAGGATAAACACACTATATACGCACTAGAACGCGTAAAATTACATTGGTCCGAAGTATTATTCTAACGCGTGTAAACGCATCCAAGAAGCTAACTTATTCAATTTTAACAAGTTTGATGGATTTATGATTATGGAGGCGTTATCACGCACTACTAATCTAACTCGTTAGAATCACCGAATATGAAACATTTAACGCTGTTTTAATGCGTTAATCCGCTTACCTGTCGCGTTACAATTTTAAACTTTTCCTGATTAACTCGTTTTAACCCAACTAATTTTTTATAATGAAATTGTGTTTTTAACGAGTTAGGATTAATTTCGAGACATTTCTGGTCTCATACAAGTTCAGAAGATAACACGTTTGCACGCATTCCAGACCATTTAACCTGTGCGCATGTGTTAAATTATTACTTGTTTTAACGCGTGCTAACCTGCGTTAGGGTATCAAAAATATTTCATGGGTGAGACTGCGTTCCACTACTAGAAGAACGCGTAACTTGAGAACGGAGATCGCGCTAGGAGAGGAATGCGTTCTGAGACGGAAAGAACTGAGAAAGAATTGGGAAGAGCGAAGCAGTAAAGTTTCTTTCTGTCAATTAATTGGAACGCGTTCTTCTCAAACAAGAACGCGTCCTAGAGACGCTTTTAGCGGTCTTTTGGAACGCGTTTTTGTTGCCTAAAAACGATTTTCTTCTGAACCCGTTCGTGGCAGAGCTGAAAGCGTTTTCTTTTGTACTAAAAACACATTCTTTCAAGAGAAAACGAGTTCCAAAAGAACGCTAAAAGCGTCTTCAGGACGCGTTCCATTTTTTCAAGAATATGTTCTTGGTCGTTCTTTTTTATGAACGTTTTTTCATGGGTAGGGTTAAAGACCAAACTTCACTGCCATACAATAGTACTAGTAAAACACATAAAGGGATGGAAACATTAGAAGATCCGGGCTCATTTATTCTGTCCTATCGTTCACAAATTTTAGAGGGGTCTTCTATCGTGTCCCTTAGAGAAGTCATATTTCTCGGTACCCTCAACCACAAAACACGCAGTTCAAAACCGCTGTATTTGGCCAATTTTGTTTCGTCAGAGGAAGAAAAATATTATTGCGCTTCAGCTACAGAGATGCATATTCAAAGTAGTACGAAAATTCTCAAAAAGTCAACCTTTGTTAAGGGGGGAGGTCTTCTATTATAGGGTCTTCTAATGTGTTCATAGCTTTACACGGAAAATTTGTAATTTAGGTTCAATAGATACAGTTTTTCTGTATCAAACAGCATTTCTAAACATGTCGAAAGCTGTCGATGCTTTCGATTTTTCGATTAGTGTCTTCTTTCAATTGTTGTGATGACATAATACATAGTTTTTGAACACATGGTTAGTCCATATTTTTGTGTCACTTGTTCAAATGCTCTGATAAAAATTTCGAGATCATCTGGTGTATTACACCTCGCTACGAGATCATCCGCATACGTCAGAGCTAAAATGTCTTTCCTTCGAGAAAGACAGGGTTAATGCACGACAAGCAACACAACTCCGTCACACCGTATGAGGGTATTACTATTCCTTGTTCTTACCGAACAAAGAACGATTACATTCACACGATGAGAGCGAAGCACGATATTACTGTACAATGCACATGCTCTGCACATTTCTTTTCATTCTATCAGAAATGCTTAATCCTTTTAAACTTAAACTGCATCTGGTAACTTTCACTCGACAACCGTTGAGATAAATGTGAACTACAAAGCGGTTGTAAAATTAACTAAATATAATTATTGTAGTCGAGTGAACATGTTGTGACATTTTTAACGAAAATCAGGTTTGTCTAGACGAAAGGCTTTTACACAATACACGAAAGCGCTTTTTATGTCATAAGCCATGTTTTAGCATTGTAAAGGAATACGCCATTTGGTGGTCTGTGTTCTTCTCAAAGCAAATAAGATCCATAACAACAACTGTTATCGATCACATTCCTTTTTATTAGAAAAAGAAAAAAAGAAATCCTGCGTAGAATAATAAATGAGTAAAATACCCCTGCGTGTTGTTAACAAAAGATAACTATCAAAATAGTAGTACTTACCGAAGGACACATAGACTAGAGATATGTCATAGTGAAGAAAATACTCTTTCTCTGAGAAGTCAGAAGATCTGGAGAATCTAAAACTTCTCTGAGAATGCCTATGGTACGTTAAGGTAAAACAGAGAAGGTAAGATAGGGTAATGTAGCGAAGGTAAGATAGGGTAATGTAGAGAAGCTAAGCTAAGATAAGATGAGGTAAGGCAAGGTATTGGTGAATTGAGAATTTTCAGAGAAGTTTTAAATTCTCCAGATCTTCTGACTTCTCAGAGACAGAGTATTTTCTTCACTATGACATATCTCTAGTCCAGTTTTCCGCACATGTCGATCCTTTCATTTTTCAGTTTTATCGCGTATTTACTTAGAAAAGTAAACAAAAACCAAAAAAAGGGGAAATTAGAAACTTTAAAGGAATAAATTAGAAAACCTACGAATTGCACTATACGTTTTATAATTTGGTCCTCTCCAGTATCTAAATACTGTACACAATTAAAACACTATTCTTGCTCGCTTGGAATTTTAATCACCCAACTATCTCGCTTTTGATCGAATGATCCCCATAAAGCCAAACACACTAACAAGGATTTATCCAGCGGTGTGGCGAGATGGCTCTCAACGTAAGTTTCGAATTGACCACGCGAAAGTACGATCTCAGCAGTACCGAGTGCTTTATCTCGTGCAACTGCTTCTACATCTAGCTCAGGTGGCCGGGATTGAACACGAAGGAATTGAATGCCTGTAATAGCCCAATCGCAGTGCTTGTAAGACCAATAATCCTCGAAAAGTTCCTCTCCTTCGTAAACCATGCGATTCACTATGCTGCCATGCATTTCGTCCTGCCATTCGGTTGCCTCACAGTTTGGTTCTTTCGAATGATTTGTGTACCGGTCGTTGTCAAGGCCGACGTTTATGAGATTGTCTTTGGAACTGTAGTATGAGAATTTCTGAATCGCTTCGAGGAACAATTGCCACTGGGGATGTTTTCTAGCGGCGAGCCGGATGTGGTTGAATTCCCTCTGTCGAATCTCAAGATTGTTGTCTTCCTTTCTCATCCACCATATGGTTCCTTTAGCAAGGTTACGCTTGGCGAAGAGACCTACGCCCGCACCAGGGACGGAGCTAGGTCTAGCTTCAGCGTAATTGTTGATTATGGTTCTGAAATCGGCGAGTTTGATACTGGCTATTTGCTGTTCGACAGAAGAAGACTGTTCGAGGGGAACGGACATGTTTGAAGATTGAGGAATGCTAGCTGAATTGAATTTAAGAGGACCTAATGAAAAGGAGATATAATACACAAAATTCGCACAAAAAGGCACGTCACCATGAGATCTCTCTCCAGTCTTGGAGTTACTCAGACGAATGGCTTCGCGACTTGGATCGCGTACCGAACTCCACCACCAGGAACGAAACGGGATAGCAAAAATATCCTTGCTTTTATCAGTTTCCGTTCCGTCTCCCATGCCGGCGTCGATTCCCGTGACCTAAACTCGGCGCACCCTTGACGTGCTTCGGCATGAGAAGCAACTCGAGAAACCCGATAAATTATACGTTTTTTACTCTTAAGTTATAAAGTAGAGATACTTGCTTTACACTCTCTTAAGATACTTTACGGTGTAAATATCTTTCAGCAAGCACTAACTGACTAGCTGCTTATTACCTTACTTACTACATATACTCAGGGCATACCAAAAGTTCTGATCACGGCGATTTCCTCCCCCTCCTTCACACCATGATCAAAGCGTTTGGTCAGTCCTAAGTATATTCTGATAGCGCTTGAAATTCTCTATCTTTCTATATATTTGTCTACTGTCTTGAATTTATCTGTTGCAAAAATAACTTAAGTGCAATGAAGACATCCTCAATTGGCGACCGTGCCTGCATGATACTCAAATTATTCTTCAGCACATAAACGCAAGATATGATAAAAATATACAGGATGATAGAGAATTTGAAGCTCTATCAGAATATACTTAGGACTGGCCAAACGCTTTGATCATGTTGTGAAGGAGGGGGGAGGGAATCGCCGTGATCAGAACTTTTGGTATGCCCTAAGTAGTATGGAAATCGAAAAATGTCGCTTCGATAAAAGTTCAGAAAGAAGTTCGTATTACAGGATGCTAATAACAGAATGGGTTAAACTAGTATTGATTGTGAAGTATCCGAGTATCATGCTGAGCTTTTTACAAGAGTTAGAACAAAGTTTTCTTTCACAGTTAAAAGCGAAGATATGTATATGAATAAACTGGTAATATTATTAAGTATATGCATTTGAGAAGTGGAAAAATCTGCCAACAATAAGCCAATGTAACTAACCAATCATCCACCATACAACCCAACAACACTCTCTCCAACCCTATAGCTTCTGAAGAGTTAATTTTAGATGCAATTGTGAAGGACTTTCTCAAATTTCATGGCAATAAACAAAGAATATTGTTACCTTATCTACTCTGGAAAAAAACCATCAAATTTTGATACGAATCAATTTTGTGTTTTCTTAATTATTTATCCACTGAAGGTGTATAAAACACTGAAGCGTTTGAATTGAATAAGTAAATTTAACAGCACATTACCTGTGTCAGGCCAAAAGTAAAGCACTAATAATATGCATGGTTGGCTGCGCAAGGCTGTAACAAACAATTAACGGACTGAGCAAAAGACGAAAAATAAATATATACCAACTTATGTGCGTGATGATGTTCGGTATTTAATCAGCAATAGACAGAACAAACAAAAAAAAAAACGAATTTGTAGTCGTGAAACAAAGACTGCTTTTCTTTGCTGCACTCATCCTTTTTCAACAAAAAATGGTCAAAGTTCACAATGACAAGAATATGTGTGCTTAGTCTTTGAAAGAACCTTTTCACGGAGAAAATTTGAAACTCGATCGCTTCTAAAAAAATCGTCATGCGTCAAAAACCAGCAAAACTTTCTGTTCCAGTGTTCTTTTGAAACTCCCAAACTAATTTGTTCCTGTTCAGCACTTAAAACTCAGTATAAAACCTTAGCTTAGACACTTTTCCAATATAACGTCATCAAAACTGTTTTCATTGAAACAAAACAGCGGGAGAAAGTCAAAAATCATTGCAAATCTATGTAGTGTTTTCTGTTAAGGGACGGAGTTCTGATTTACACTGCATTCAATTCTTCTTTAGAGAGGAGAGCTTTTTTAAAATTCCTTTCCATTGCTGAGAAATTTGGCGTTTTCTAAACTACAGCTTATATTGCTTACATTCATCCGAGAAAAAAATCGAGAAATAACCGAAAAATCAGTGAAAAATTCACGCAACAGCATCAGACAAAAAGAACAAATAAACACTAGAAAATCGTGTTTTTTAAATTCATATTCATAATGACCAGCTGTCAAATTTCAGCCGATCTTAGATGGTCAACATACGCGCGGTAGAGACCGACTGGAAGTACATAACTATTCTGTAGCCTAGGTGATACTCTTCAAAACCATGCAACCAGCACAGTTTTCCGTTGTTACACCGTAGCAACAATTCTCGCGTTCCAGATACTTGAAAAGTATATTTTTGAGCGACTGAGGTCAGATATACATGAAAATGAGGGTTTTCGACTACGTTGATGACACAGATAAGGTAGGCCA